ACCCACACACATGACTCAGCTACTTTTTTTTTTCGTTAAAATGCGGAAAATTAATTGAAAACAACGTAATTACGTCAATTAAAATTGTAATAGATTTCATTATTACATATTTTTCTTTTTTTGGCAGAATTCTCCAAATGTTAATAATACTAAGTACTTTAACATTATACCTGTTACGATATGACGATTCCGAACATCAAAAAAGAAATAGATGGCATTATACAGTTCATATAGCGTTATTTCTTTCCTATTTTTAGTAAGGAATAGACAATATTGGGAAATCATTCGTTCTTTCACTCGTAACAATAATTCACAAATTAATAAGCGATAGTACGTATCAATAATACATTACTTGGTTAATGGGTTTGTCGTGGTACGAATATGAGTAATATGCTTACTATAAGAGTATTGTATTATCAGTGCTATAAGCTTACATTGAAATAAGATTGTTTATAATTATAATTTTTCATTATAAATATTACCGTTCTAACACGCAAGCAAATATCGATAATATGTCTATGCCAATTTAAACCCTCATCAATATCATACTCAGATATTTAATACAATCAGTTCTGGAAATACTGACACATTGACAATCGCGCGAATCCTTTACACATGCGCGCGATTTTGAGCAGTGATACAAACGCGATGCAAACGCACGACTACATCGATACAAACGGGCGATTGCATCGCTACACTTGGGATTTAAAGGCGAATGCATCGACGCAGTCACGCGTTTGTATCGATGCAATCGCGCGTTTGTATCGATGCAGTCGCGCGTTAGCATCGATGCAATCGCCTATAAATTGCAAGTGCTAAAAGTGGCCATGTGTAACCACTCTAAAATGTCATCCAGCCTACCGAATGCAAATAAAAAAGTTTATATTAAATAAAATAATGATCGTTAGGTTAAAAAAAATTATATGATACATTACACATCCATTGAAATAGGTAAATCATTTAAAACAGTTTCAAAGAACGCGGGGCAAGAAATGCGTTGCTACTACTATCGCCAGGAGCGAAACAACGTGGCGTAATTTCCGCATCTCTGGGTAATCATTCTCAAGGATTAAGCTTTCATGCCAACCAGCTGAACGTCCCGACAACCGTTGTAATGCCGAATGTAGCACCAATCATGAAGATAGAGAAATGTCGCTCGTATGGCGCCAACGTAATCATTTACGGTGATGACATGAAAGAAGCCAAGTACCACGCTATGATTTTGGCAAAGGAGAAGAACCTTACTTACATTAATGGGTGAGTTTTAATCCAAACTAATATTATAAATGTGAAAGTCATACGAAAGTATAACTCTGTCTGTTACATTTTCACGCCTGGACCGCTGAACCAATGCCAGAAGAATTTTGGTATAGAGATAGATGGGACTCAGGAGAAGGATGTAGGCTTCTTTTTCTCACAATAATAAATCTTAAAGGGGGCAAAATAGGGGACTAAACTTTGTATGGAGTACCAAACATTTCTCAAGTGAAGAGTATAGTAGGCTACTCGAAGTATTTATTCTAAGCAGACAAAGTCACGGGCACCAGCTAGTGTAGCTATAAATACGTAAATTTTATAAAGCGTTGTTATAGGTATGTTTTTTAACCTGGTCTCTAACTCGGGAATTTCCTGTACACCATAAGTACCAGAGTATCTAATGGACTTTGGACACTCTGGGACACTTCCGAGAACAGCCAGACGAAAACCAGTTAGCAAAGTTCATCTCCAAAATTGTTCGTATCGGGAATCGAACCAGTATCCACAGCGCAAATCCTTGGGTCAAAGAAGTCGTCGAAAAGCTCGTTTTGGAAATGAGTAATTATTAACTATTAAATATTAAGATACTTTAAAGCAATGCTTCCCAAGGTGTTAAATACTTATGTATACTCCCCAGAGTTCCATTTCAAGCTACATGGGGCCCACGTTAGCGAAAAAAATAAGTGGTCCAAGAGATGCGAACAAAAATTTTGGCGTACCGTAAATGGAGTAATCCACATTACACGTATATGGAGATAATAAATAGTATAGTAAACTAGGTAATATGTACATAGGTATATTCATATTACTGTCTTATAATAGACATATAATTGTAAAGCCCAAAGTTCGTTGCAGATTTTATCATTATCATTGATCCTATGGATAAAGTGTAATAAACCAGAGTGTTTATTTTTTTGCATTTTTAGTTTGTTCGATTCCCAACTTTACTAAAAGTCTGTGAATGCAGTTATTGATATTATTAAAAAAAAAATGTTTCCTTTAAGTAAAATTAGTTAATGCTTACCTTACATGTCCCATTAATTTTTTCCATCCCGTACTATTTCAAAAAGTAGTGCTGTTTTGTTATAGAAATCGATAGGGCGATACCAACTATAGATAGGTTTACACAAAAAATCCTATTAACCATTAAAAGTTACGCAAGCTATACGCAGTGGTGTTGTAATTGTAGACCACAATTTATTGGTGGTTATTGTAAGATAATAGGCAGAGTATATTTTACCTGAATTTTAAGTAGAGCGAATAAACTCACTTTGGTATCTAGGAAAGATAAAAAAATAATAATAATTTAAAAAATACAAAAAAGCGAAGGAATTGATACGTAGTCTATGATACAAAAAAGTTTGGGAAACACTGCTGTTGTATATACATAAATAGTTATTACGATGTCAAATATTCGGCCGTTTCATATTGAACAATATAATGCTTTTATGACTGAATGTCATTGACTTACTAAGTCAATGCTGAATGTCTATGTTTCCAATGGTGGTATAAATTTTATTTACCGCAAAATCGTTATTCCCACAGCTACGACCATCCACATATAATGGCTGGACAAGGTACAATGGGGTTAGAGATTTTGGAACAAGTTCCTGATGTGGATGCTATCTTGGTACCGGTCGGAGGCGGGGGGCTGCTGGCTGGAGTGGCTACCGCGGTGAAACATCTCAAACCACATGTCCTTATTTATGTAAGTCTGCAAATCATTATGACATCTTTGAATTGACATGTTTTATTTTATTGCATGACCTGGAATAAAATCCTTCACTCGAAAAGATTATAACCACAGACCAGTGATTACAACTATTTTTATAACAACAAATCGATGACAGTTCAACGTACAATAAGGGGTGAATATCAACAAATGCATTTTATAGTAAATTTTGGTGGCGCAATTTTTTTT